TTTAGGTGCTTAGAATACCCAAGAGTGAAAAGTCACGTATTTAGTGAAAGTCATATATTTAATTCTCTTAATTAGCGTCCCTCTCCTTTCTTCTTTCTTCAACTTGCCAGTTAACTCATGTAACCTCCATCTCTTCAATTCATAAAAGCTCCTATTCGTACCAGATGCATAATTACATATATATCGTGCCTCTTGATGGACAAATGAAGAGACATTTTCAGCAAATTTTATAAGGGCCTTGATTCCCCATTTAACCATAAAAGACATTATCTGATCTGCATATTGTTAGGAATATAGTAGATATGTCTTAGATCCAATATCATATTTGATGATTTGAACATATTTTTGTGAACGTTATTTGATATAAAATATATATGGCATTTGATATTCTTTTATCATTATTATTAATTGCTTGATTTATTTGATAAGGTCCTTGATTAAATTTTGAGACTTGTCATCGTGATGGAGATCATGATAATGAGAGTAAAGTTTCTTATAATTTAATCGAAATTTGTTCTTGATCGTAGGATTATTAATTTGGACATTAGTAATCCGGTTAGATCAATATTTTTGTGATCGTCTTTATGGGATAAAGATTAGTTGATCTCATTAACTAAATTACATAGATAGATGATGCATATAGAAATATGATTATTGAACCGACTCATTGAATAATTTCTAATGGTTAGAATTATCATAAACTGTCAATAGGATATTCTCTTGAAGAACGTGGTGTAAGAATTTCCTTTAACCTGAGATCGTCATAGTAATTGACAAGCTATTAATTGTGATTTGATACCAGACACCTATGGCCCTAGGACGATAGTTGAAAGGATATTGGGTACGATTAAATACTTGTAGAATTAGTGATTGATCAAGATGGAATTTGTCAGCTCTTAGTAATGAGTTTAAGCTCCATGTTGTCATAAATTATAAACGACCAAACAAAGACCTTGGCCAGGGCAATTGAATGAAAGAAGAAATGAGTTTCTTAGGTCATTCAATGGTCGATTATATTTGACATGAACACATAGTTGGTCGCCTATTAGGATTTGACAGTTGAACCATATCCTAGGGTGATCCAGAGCTATAAGGACAGAAGGAATTACTACATTATTCTTCTACTGGTTCTTGAGAGTAAATTGTATACTTCATGATATCCGATTGTTAATGAGTGTTGCTAGACACCACCCTTGATTAGTATATTGATGTGATCAATTTACTACCGATTTAGTATTGAACCTATGGGGTCGCACACTTACGAGTGTTCTGATCTTTGCTAAAGGATTAATTAACTTATTATTTGATAATTAAATTAAAGAATTTAATTAGTCAAATAAATTTAGTTATTAGTCCAAATGAAATATTATTATATGCTAGCACAGAGGATATAATTAATAATGTGAACAAATTGAAGTTTTCTATTTGGAATAGAAAATTAAATTATATCTTTTAGTTGAAATATATATGATATATTTGATACTCATAATTAATATTTATTTATATATGCAAATATATAAAATATTAATTAAAAAGCTCATAAGTTAAAACCAACTTTGAGTTGGATTAACCAGAAAGTCCATAAAGGACGTGAGGCTCTCAAAATCCCATGAGTAATAGGATTAGTAGTTTACGTATAAGGTCCAAAAGGACTTGTTGGCTACTTCGTCCTATTATGAATAGGCTTTGTATTTTACAATATAAAATTATAAGAAGTCCAATTTTGAGAATTAATCCTCATGTCAGTCACGGTCTTCACGTTTTTTCTTAACCTAAGGTAATAGTTTGGTGCCCGAGTGTGTGTATATATATATATATATATATATATATACACACACATATATATATATACACACACATCACCAAATAACGTGAGGACGTGAAAAACTTCGGATGAGCCGCAAGAAAATTACTTTGTGAAAGTGAGAGTGCAATACAAAGCCAAGAGAGAAAATATAATTACAAAAAAAGTGTTTCTTGTTCTTCTAATTTGAGTTGAGATTTTTGAAAAAAAATTCAACACAAGTTTTTCGTTCAATTTGTTCGCGAGTTTCATTGATCAAAGAGTTGATAGCAAGGATCTGTCTCGGTGTGGATACACATATAGTCTTCGCACTATCGAAGAATTTGAAACGAGACTTTCTTCACCAGGTACGTCTTAGATCCGATCTATTGACATGTAAATAAATTTTAAACACGAAAAGATCTGTCTAGGATTGTTATTGTCTTCCGCTGCGTGTTATGAACATCTATACGCAATTTTTCACATATTAGGTGTCAAATTGATGTTAACAATTCTTATGCATCGTACAGATCAGCATGATCAACGGTACAATATTCTCTCTTTTTCCTTTTCTTTGCTTCTTGGTTTATAAGCTTTACACCAAAGACTACACAACTTTTTCTAACATATAGTAAAAGAGCAGTTATTGAAGAGGATGGAGAAGATACGGTCAGCGCTCTGCCAAGAAACGTTGTAGATTCATCTTTATTCCTTTTTCCCAGCCTCCAAATTAATGTCTTTCTCCACTTTTTTCTTCATTTACTCACTTATATCCTGTTTGGCCAAACTACTGCAAAAATCAGAAAAGTGTTTTTCTCAAATGTACTTTTAGTGAGAATCAGTTTGCGTTTGACTAATTAATTTGAAAAGTATTTTTGAGCAGCAATTAGTATTTGACTAAACTTTTATAAATTATTTTTAAATGTATTTTTCTCAAAAGTGCTTTTCAAAAAATATTTTTGAAGAGAACTATTTTTTCTGCTTCTCCAAAACTGTTTCTGCTTCTCCTCAAAAGCATTTTTTTTTCTTCCAAAAACTTAGTCAAACACTTCAACTTTAAAAAAAGCATTTTCTAAAGAAAAAAAAAATGCTTCTAGAATTGGAGAAGCTTTACCAAACATGCTATTATATGACTGTCTCTTCCTATTAATCTACGTTTATGTTTGCATTTTAGCATTTGTCTTAGAAATTCTTATATTTGTGTAATATAGCATAATCGTAATTGCACATATATTTCATAAAGCATATCCTAATACGCTTAATTTGATATAGAAAAGCCTTATTCATATGTACGAATGTTGGTCAGGTGGGTCTTTTTTTTTTCAATCGGTCATGCATGTAATAATCTCACTTTTGTTTATACCTATAACTCTATATTTTAGGATCTTTCTTCAACAGATTATTTGAATCATGCATGCAAGATATATTATAAAGAAGAAGTTCACATCAAGAAGAGAAAAAGTAGAGTTAATCTTAGTGAGGGAGAAAGCAACAATTTAGGAGAGGGCGAAGAAAAAGAAGGAAAGAGAAACAGAAGGGTAAAAAAGAATCTGGATTTGTGTCGTCTTCGTCTTCTTCTTTCATTTTAATTTCAGCCCTTTTTCTTATTCTTCTTTTTTTGAAGCTTATTTTCCATTTCTCTTTCCTTTATCATTAATACATGAGAATTTGAAAAAAAATTAAAATACAAAAAAAAAAAAAGGTGTACAGTGTGAATTTTACATAATTCAATATATCTATACGCATATAACTGAAATTTTTATGCTAAGCGGAAAGAAATATAGAAAGAGGAAAAAGAGAAAAATAAATAAGAAAATAGTGATAGAATTGCAACTTGATTCTATAATTGAAAATCTGTGGCTGAACACTTTGAGAAAAGTGTGACGTAACATTGGGATTGTCTTAATATATCCTCTATTGTGAATTGCCTTCACATCCTCCATTTTACATGAATCACATCACTCACATATAAAGAGTGATTAAAGTGAGTAAACTTTCCATTGTTCATTTTAGAAATGGAGAAGCGAAAGAGAAATTATATTGGATAAATTACTTATGGTCGTCTTCAATGGAGAAGTATAATGATGCATGGTGGATATATAACATTACATGATGATTTAAAGATTAATTAATTGAACCACGGATGAACGACGACAAAGTTTTTATCTATATGCTTTACTTTATTAATGTTTATTACTTTTACCATAAAATATTTATTACCATTGTATACATGTAAAGTTATTAAGTATATCCAGAGGATGAAAGTAGCAGAGATGCGGATGTTGAGGTAGATGTGCGGGCACACTAGGACAAACAAGATTAGGAATGAAGATATTCGGAAGAAGGTGAGCGTCGCCCCTGTGGATGACAAAATGCGGGAAGCGAGGCTCTGATGGTTCGGGCACGTGCAGAGGAGAAGCCTTGATGCACCGGTGAGAAGGTGTGAGCGGTTGGCCGTGGTGGGTACGAGAAGAGGTAGAGGGAGACCTAATAAGTATTGGGGAGAGGTGATCAGGCAGGACATGGTAAGACTGCAGATTTCCGAGGACATGGCCCTTGATAGGAAGGCCTGGAGGTCAAGCATTAGGGTTGTAGAATAGGGGTAGTTGAGCTCTCCTTACTTCATATCGGGGGTGAGGTGGGGTTGGATTAGGGTTGATCTTAGATGGCTTGTAGTTTATGTTGAACACACACTATTCGTGCTATTTATCTTAGCCGCGGGCCTTAGACTCTGATTATTGTTATTGCATGTCATTAATCTTTTGGTTTTTATGCTTCTGTTACTATTATTGTTTCTACTGGAGTTACTAATGAATTCTCTTTTCTTGTTTTTTATTTCCGTCTTTCTGAGCCGAGGGTCTATCGGAAACAGTCTCTCTGCCCTATCGGGGCAGGGGTAAGGTCTGTGTACACATTACCCTCCCCAAACCCCACTGTGTGGGATTTTACTGGGTAGTTGTTGTTGTTGTTGTTATAGTTGTAGTCTTAATATAACTTTTTTTTTTTTTGGCCTTTAAATTATTTTTTGGGCAACTGATAATATGACAAGTGTTGGAGCTAACCAAAAATAATATTAATATGTATAATTTATTAAACTTATATAAATAAAATAATAAAGAACTTTTTTAAAATTCACTGATTTATTTTTGTGACCGTGCAAAGCGCGATAATAATCTCTAATGAACACTATAATTCTCGAGAAAAATATTAGTATTTGTTAGTACTCAATCAATCCCAAGCTCTTCAACCAGGGAAGCACCTCGGACAAACCTTCTTTCAAGCTTCTGGGGTTGTAATCCAACTCTTCTTTTGCCTTCTCACAAGAGTAAGCCCACTGATGTCTAGCCGCAGAAACAATCTGTTCAAGATGATGTATAACGAGGTGATAAGAATTAAGGTCCAATGCTAGCTATAATCAGGCATAAAAAAGAAAGAAAAATGAAAAGAAAGTAGGCCAGCAAAAATCACCCTGCATGCCTAGAACATGAAAATCCCATCGATGTCACCACCTGTTTTTGGGCAGGTGTGAAAAAATTTGACCTGCTTATGTGCTAAATGATGTCTACTTTTGTTTTGGTGGAGCAATTATAATTTTTTTTAATAGTTTCTTAAAGAAGCAATGTTTTCGAATAAAGTAAGACCAAGAAATGTTGCATATGTACAGCTCTAGTTATGCAAATGCGGAGCCCAGAAATAGAGACTTAGCTTGAGAGATAAGGAGTCGGGAAATATGCAACATAATGATGGCTGCCATACATATTAGATACATAAATATTAACCTGTAGTTTAATTTATAAGCAATAATTCCGAACTATAAGTTGCAAAAATGAAAAAGGTCTACTAGACATGCTAAGAAAACAATTTTTCACACTTAGAACCAAATAAGAAGGCGCTACTATCCATCTCAGAGTAACAGGTCTGAAGTAATTTAAGCCGGGGCAGTGACAAGAACCTTAAAGAAAAGAAGGAAAAAAGCTAAAGCCCAATGTTTCTGTCATTGTGACATTGATGTATTAAACCAAAAGTCACCACCATTTGGTCTCGAATCTCATACAACTTAAGACATACACCCCTAAAGAAAAACCAGTATAACAAATCAAAGCATGAAATGTCAATCAGTTTCTTACCGGAGGACTGATTAGAGGAAGCTTTCCTGTTAATTTGGAGAAAATAATTGATATCCAGCCGTAAGCTTCAACAATAAGTAGGGGAATTCCAAATGAAGGCCTCTTTGTCTGAGTGATCATGGCAGCTATGTCGAAAACTTCCTTAAATGACGCATTCTCCCCAGTAAGAAGGTACCTTTCACCTGATTTGCCTTTGTCCATAGCCGCAATATGCCCGTCAACCACATCATCAACATGGCTAAAAGAGAACCTTTCATTTGCTTGGCCAATGTAACCAGGTAAACGCCCACTATAGCGTTCAATTATCTGACAAAAAAATTATGTGAAAACTCAATACCATATAAATTTCATGTCTGACAAATCAAATTACAGCAGCTAACTAGTAAAATTGCTAAATCCTACCTTCACAAAGGCAGGGTTTAGGCTGCATACCCACTAATTTCACTGGGGTATGTTGTTGTTATTGTTGTTGCTAAATCCTACTATCGCAACATGAGCGTTGACCTGAAGCACTGTTTTCTCTTTCTTTTGTTGACAGGTAACGTATCAAACAAGGTGATACAGAGTCCCTCAAAGTTTATGTTTGTGGAACTTAATCCCAACATTTTGTTTTTTGGGTACTAATACCCTTCAAAAAATTTCATCGAGGAATTTTTCCTACAGTTCGAAATTGGTTTAATTCACAGGAAAAAATGCAAAATTCCTGATTATCTCCTTTTTATCAGCATTCCTCCTCTTCTTCCTTCTCATTTCAAGGAAACAGAATTAATTAACAAACATCCCTCTTATAGAATGAGGAGTTTGGCATCATTGAACATGTTTTACTCTTTGGTGAAGCAGTCATTATGCATGAAATTATAGAACATCTACAATTTATTAATCAACTACAAAAACATTGCCAAATATATAGCTGTCTCCAAAATCCACAGCATTAAAACGAGTTATTTTGATCCTAACCATCAATTGAAAGATAATATAGTTCCAAACATCAAGCTGAATCCATGAAGGGGAGAGGAAGAAGTATGAAATATTTACCATACGCGCAACGATATTTGCACTCGTGACCTTTCCAGGACCATATATGAGTCCTGGATAAACAGGCACTATCGGCATTCCTTCAGACGCAGCATCTAGTGCAACTTTATCAGCAACAGCTTTCGATTTCTCGTACTCCGTACAGAAGAACTTTCCAGTATGAGTCTGTATTCCATAATATTAGTCAAACATTTGTACCCAAGGATATGGCGTAATTGTCAATGACGTGGGGCCAACCTTGAAGTCTCATGTTCAAATACTAGGAAAGCCAAAAAATACTTAATTTGTTCCCATCTGCCACCTAGTACTTGTCCCCGACACCACCATCATACAAAACATAGCTTGCGGGCCTCTTTTTTTTTTGGGACTAATATTAGTTTAGAGGTGACGATGAGACTCAAAAAACAAGACTTTGCTTGCTCTGATACGTGAACTGTCTCAACTAAAGAAGGAATAAATCTAGTTATTAATATGAGATCTTTAACACAGTCAATCAGCTTTTGTACCTGAGTTTCATTGGCAATATATCCATCAGTTGATCCCAGGGCAAAAAACGACGATGTGTACACAATTTTCTCTATAGTTCCCGTTTCTTTATAAGCTTGTAACACATTCTTCAATCCTCCAACATTGACCTATAAATGCAGTAAGTATTACCAAAAAATAAAACAGATCATTCCACCATCATTTAATACTCACAAAAAGATTACTCTTATATTGCACAATCAATAATACTCATAAATATCACAAAAACATCATTCTTTAGTTAGTTACGTGTCATATTTTCCTTTTTAGTTATTTATAATCACATAAATGTCTAGTGTTTATTTTAGACCACAAATTCAATAAAATATAACCAGATAGATGGAGACAGGGGGAATATTTTTATATCCTAATCAAAACACACTATTTGTATTCCCTATTATTTTACCGTCATCTACTTGTATATGTCTAATTACTACGTGTAACCTACTTTTCTACCTCAACACTGAAAAATGATTTTTTAAAGTAAAACATTTTCTACGAATAAAAATATTCCTTCAGGCGAAACGCATTATTGTGCTCACTGAGAAGAATCTAGATGGATCAGGAAGCCATAGCTCGACCAATGCAGCAGCATGAAAGATGACGTGGCAACCGGTAGCAGGCTTGAAGGAGTGACTGATAATCTGTAACATCTCCAAACACAAGCTCTAGGGTTCCGCCACCGCTTCCGCATCAGTAAGCGAAGGTAGAGAAGATAGGTTGCTTGTATGGCGAACGAATGCCTTAACATGCTGGCCGGCGTTGAATAACTGCTGGCAGAGCCGTCCACCCAGGTAACCAGAAGCTCCGGTTACCAATATCACCGTTTTGTTCATTTTCTGTGTACTTGTCACGTTCTTAGCCAACCATTAAGCCAGAGGTCAGTCTTTATTTTTAACTCATCAAGTTGAATAGTTTTAATAATTCATCGTACGTCTCGAAAAGTACTTTGTTGATCGATAGCACAGGAAAAGAAGGGCAGAAGAAAACAAAGAACATGTGATGAAATACAGCTTATGTTTGGCAAATCTTCTTTTACGCCAAAAAAAAAAATTCCAACGGTTAAGTGTTTGGTCAAGTTTTTAAAAGTAAAAATAAATATTTTTAAGTAGAAACAAAAACAAGAATTTCATTCCAAAAACATCTTTTGAAAAACACTTTTAAGAAAAATACACTTAGAAGTATTTTTTAAAAACTTGACCAAACATTAATTGTTGTTCAAAAGTGATTTACTCTTCTGTCAACAGGAGTTATTCTTTACCTTGACGCTGTGAAATCTTCCGGTCCTTGAGTTGCTACGAAGCCCGTAAAGGAATTGTGGATACTGTTGTACGAACATCAGACGCTGGATATCTCACTCGCAGACTTCAAATTAATTAGTCAAACGCAAATTGCTTCTCACCAAATATATTTTTTAAAAACACTTTTAAGAAAAATATTTTTCAAAATAAATTGATTTTAGAAACTTGGCTAAATAAGTTATTAGTCCCAACAAGGTTTGGGATTGACTACACCAACCATCAATTTTTAATTTAAGCTCAATTCAAATCATTATTATACTAAATAAAATTAAAAGTTAAGAATAAATCAACTATATATAAATAACACTATCTCTATTTTATTTTATGTAATAGATTTACTATTTAAAGAGTCAAAAGATTCCTTTTAAATTTTTTGAATTATTTTTTTTTTTTGGTAAAACTGTTATGTATTACCATTGACAAACCAAACTTTACACCTAACGAGCACTTAGGAAAAGCAGCAGTATGCCTACCCTCCTAAGCCTCGGAACAGAGAAAAACAACTAGTTACAGAACTGTTGGATCGGATATTTATATTTGCTAGCTTTCCTAGAGTTTTTCCTACATTCTATTCTCTCCACTATTTCTTTATCTATCTGTTGTATTGCTATATTTGCAGTAATTTATGTCCCTCTGAATTGCTTCCAGTTCCTTGCCTGCCAGGAATGATAAATTCTTGTTCCGAGTAATGCCGCAGCTATTTCCTTCTTGAATTGTTTCCAGTGCCTCCCCTTGATCCATTTTAAGCATTGTATAGTATCTTGCTTTTGTGTTCTGATGCCCGTCCATCTTTCCAGTGCTTCTTTTACTTCCAGTGTCCAGCTACATTCATGAAATAGATGCTTATGTGTTTCCCTCTTACTATCAGTGCATAGACAGCATGTCGCATCCTCCACTTGGATATGCAGCATTCCCATCCTTTCCTTTGTAAGCAATTTGTCTTGACTAGCCAACCACACTATAAACCTGTGTCTTGGCAGCATAATTGAATTTCATATCATATCTGCTTCTTGAAGCCTGTCCATCTCTCCCAGTAGTGCAATGTAGCTCTTGCTAACAGAATAGTGTTGGGATAAAATAAATAATCCCGCCCAGGAATAATATCCACAGCAAATAATAATAACACAAGAGAGTAACAATGACACCAAATATTTTAGCGGGGTAAAATACAATACCCGAGTGGAGCAATATTATCACTATAATATTGCAACTTAGTAGTGTCAAGAAACTACTACAACTTTGAAAGAAATAACACTCTTTATTTAACACACTTCACTACAATATTACTACCACTCACTAATTATCTCACAGACAATAATCTGTGGATTACTCTCACTAACTATATGTTGCTTCTCTCTTTATTTTGGTGTATTTTTAACCGAAACAAAGCGCCCTTTTATAGGCAAAGTTGTAACCAAATCAGTCGTCCAACTTGGAAATTTTTTCATTCAAATCAGCCGCCCATATTTTTTTTAAGCAGCCCATTAAATTTTCAAAGCCACGCAATTTGACTTCTTTTTCATCTTTTTCAATGTTTCACTTTTTTTTTTGGGGTCCTACAAATCTCTCCCTTAATTTTGATTTTTCTTCTTCATTACAAGTCTTGATCTCAATCTTTGAAAATCTTCAAACTTGAGAGCCTTTGTGAAGATATCTGCAACTTGATCATGAGACTTCACATATTTGAGCTCGACTTCCTTCTTCGCAATGCATTCTCTGATGAAGTGATACCTTGTATCTATATGCTTGCTTCGATCACGATACACTGGATTCTTTGCGAGTGCCTGCGCTGATTTGTTATCAATACAAATCTCTGTAGCTTCCATTTGTGGCAAATTGAGCTCTTTTAATAATCTCCTTAGCCAAATAGCATGACAGGTACATGACGTTGTTGCTATATATTCGGCTTCACAAGTCGAGAGAGTAACAATGGACTGTTTCTTTGAACTCCAAGAAATAACACAATCACCCAAGAAAAATACAAAATCAGTTGTACTTTTTCTATCATCAATACCTCCCGCATAATCACTATTACAAAATCCCATAAGGTTGAAATCATTAGAAGAAGAATAAAATAACCCAAAATCGATCGTACCTTTTAGGTAACGAAGAATTCTTCTAGTGACCTTCAAGTGAGTAGAGGTAGGAGCCTCCATGAAGCGACTTACTACTCCAACTGCAAAAAGTATATCTGGTCTGGTACAAGTCAAGTACCTCAAACTTCCCACAAGACTTTTGAAGAATGTGGGATCCACTTTTTCTCCTTCATCAAACTTGGACAATTTTGTCCCACTTTCCATCGGTGTGTTCACGGGGTTGCAATCGAGCATGTTGAACTTCTTCAATATCTCCTTTGTATAGCTTTCCTGAGAGATAAAAATTCCATCCTCCATCTGCTTCACTTCTAGGCCCAGGTAATATGACATGGGCCCTACGTCTGTCATCTCGAACTCACGGGACATATCTTTCTTGAAAGCTTCAAACAAACTTGGGTTATTACCCGTGAAAATAAGATCATCAACATAAAGACAAACAAGTAAGATATCTCCATTAGTATGAACTTTAAGGTAAAGAGCATATTCATGGAGACAACGAGTAAACCCATTGTCTTGAAAATACTTGTCGATGCAACTATTCCATGCTCGTGGGGCTTGCTTTAATCCATATAAAGTTTTCTTCAACCGCAACACTTTATCTTCATGGTTTTTGACCACGAAGCCCAATGATTGTTCAACATAGACTTCTTCTTCAAGATAGCCATTCAAGAAGGCTGACTTGACATCTAGTTGATGAATCTTCCACTTCATTTGCGCCGCCAAAGAGATCAGCAAACGAATCGTCTCCATGTGGGCAACAGGTGCATAAACTTCTTCATAGTCAATGCCTTGCCTTTGCTTGTAGCCTTTAGCCACAAGTCCTGCCTTGTATTTCTCCACATCTCCATCAGCATTCTTATTTATTTTGTATACCCAATTCACTCCAATTGTTCGATGACCCTTGGGAAGAGTTGTTAACTCCCAAGTGTTGTTCTTCTCTATTGACTTGATCTCCTCTTCCATGGCTTGTCTCCACCTTTTGTTTGTAACAGTTTCATCAAAGTTCATTGGTTCACTGTCAGCAAAGAGACAACATAAAAAATCAAAATTAGTAACTTCTTATGTGTCCTCATAGAACTCTTGAATGCTTCTTGTCCTTTGCGGCTGTTCATTTGAACCTTCTTGAGAAGAGGGAGATGCAACATTTGTTGGAGAAGAAGGTGGAGTTGTGTCCTGCACAGGTTCTACGGTCTCCGGTTCTTCTTCATCACCAAAGTATGGAAGAAAATCATATGAAGTTTCTTCCTCAGCTTCCCAATTCCATGCCAGTTCTTCATCAAATTCAACATCACGACTTACCACCACCTTACCGCTGCTTGGGTTGTATAGCTTGTAGCCTTTTGAACTCGTATCATAGCCAACAAACACATGCTTGACACTTCGATCGTCAAGCTTTGCTCTCCCTTGATGTGGCACATGAGCNCCAAGGATGGCTTTCATACGTAGACACCATTTCTCATAATTATCTTTTGTCAGACGGGGGTACTGAAAAGATAGCGGACCATTATTTGCCATGGCTCTGATACCACGTTGTTGGGATAAAATAAATAATCTCGCCCAGGAATAATATCCACAGCAAATAATAATAACACAAGAGAGTAACAATGACACCAAATATTTTAGCGGGGTAAAATACAATACCCGAGTGGAGCAATATTATCACTATAATATTGCAACTTAGTAGTGTCAAGAAACTACTACAACTTTGAAAGAAATAACACTCTTTATTTAACACACTTCACTACAATATTACTACCACTCACTAATTATCTCACAGACAATAATCTGTGGATTATTCTCACTAACTATATGTTGTTTCTCTCTTTATTTTGGTGTATTTTTAAACGAAACAAAGCGCCCTTTTATAGGTGTAACCAAATCAGCCGTCCAACTTGGAAATTTTTTGCCGCCCATGTTTTTTTTAAGCAGCCCACTAAATTTTCAAAGCCACCCAATTTGACTTCTTTTTCATCTTTTTCAATGTTTCACTTTTTTTTTTTTTTTT